CATCTCAGCAACCAGGAAAGCTGGGAGGCTGAAACTTCGGATATATGTTCCTACCCCATGTGTCATTCTCCCGTTTTAAGATCTTTTCCCCACACGCGTCTAGACCCTGCGTATGGGACTCCCGAAGAAATATGTTGGCAGGAAACAACTTCGCGAACCAGGCAACGTAGAAAGCTGAAACTTTGCAGGGAGATATTCTCTATGCACGTGCGAGCCAAAGATTTTAAACTCCGCTGTCGAGCACCCCAATCAGAGCCTTAAGCGGCTCCTCAATCCCAAGATCGTTAGCAGCTCGGATCTGAACCGCATGGATTAAATAATCCGTTCGAACAATACTTTTAATTTTCCATGAACTGGAAATTTGCATTTTTTCAAAAAATTTGCATTTTTCATTTTTTCACAAAGCGAGCATTTACCGGAGAAAACTGGACTTCATGCAAAAAACCGGTAATCATGAACCTGGATGTCCGTGCGGCTCTATAATGCACCACCTTCATCCTAACTGACACCCATCCTCCTGCATGCCGGGAAGGATCAAAGCACGCCAGTATGACCCAAGTATTAGGCTACAGCGTAGGAATCGTTTTTGCTAATAGCGATCTGCGAGTTTAGTGCAAAAAAGCATGATGGCATCGGAGAGCCTGGTGCGTTCCAGCCTGGGTTGATTTTATAGTTGCGACCGGTGTACGAAAACAACCCAGTAACACCACTAGCATCGGTTACTCACACTGATGCCTGGACAGTCCGCTATTCTTGGTCTTTACTTTTGCGCTCTAATAATTAGGTTACACTGATCGTTTAGGTATGTTTGTTTTGATCAAAAAATGCGTATGACCTTATCATTCGATTTCAGGGGCATAGCGTCGCACCTTACACTTCACTTCCTAAAAACGCAATTTGACTGCTACTGAAGCTGAAATGGCGGAACCACAATTCTGAAATCAGATTTGCATTCCCCCGCGTCTTAGTCTCTGACTACCGATCCAGTGTCTAGCAAATTCCATACTTCGAATATCCAAAAACTGCAAGCTAAGAAACTTGGGGATTATCTGCCAAAATAAGAAGTGAAAAACAAGGAACTAGACCCCACGCCGCACTGTTTCTCTCAACTTTCATATCTAAATTCAGGAAGCCCGAAACTATAAAACGGAGATTAGCAGAGGCTAGTTCAACAAGTAACTGTAAGCATGCAGCTTGAAATCACAGTACAGACTTTATTGCTTCCTGACCTATGGCCCCAGATCCAGGCTCATTTTGCGCCCTCGAAGAATACGAGCTAGAAACTCAAAATTTTTGGATTTTTTTTTTTGGCTAATTACAATGATTTTTGATGGACATGTAACAAGCTGCTGCGATAAGCTTTGGTCAAAATACAGGATTGATATTGAAAGTATTTTAGAAATTTTTAAGATGTAAATTATGAATATCACTGGTTTGGGGACTGGAAGAAGTGGGGCCTGCAGTCATCTATTTGTTAACATTCATATTCGTTTGAAACTCAAGAAATAAAGCTGCCAAAAATCCGAATTTTTGCTGCTTTTCATGCGGTCGATCACTAGAAAGGGCATTTTGATGGACTTATTGGTCCATTCATCAATTGGGTTTATAGCAGTAACACATCTTGATACGGATAGCTGTTTATCGTTGGTGGCATGTCGGCTGGCGGATAAGTGGATCATCGCTCGGAAAGCAGAGTAGGATCTCATGATCAACAAATTAGTGGGCTGTTTTCCTAAATTTATAAGCAAATCGTATAATCATGATCACAGAAAAGAGATGGAATAAGTATTCTAATCTCAGAACAATCCCTTTTCAGGATGTCACAGTCAGCTTCTTGATGACCACTGACAGCTTTGACTTGAATGACACCTAACTGCTCCTTATTTTGCAGGCATTTGAAGAAACATGTGATCATTATCTTGCTCCACTTAGTGACCGTTTCTCAAAGCCTTCGGGAGATTGTTGCTCAGAATTCATCGAGTCGAGATCATCCGCGGATGCGGCACCGTCCGTTGTTAAGGACGCATTACTTACTAACAATAATAATAGTAATAATAACAATAATAATAGTAATAATAATAATAATTGCTGCAACGCATCTCCCGGATTGGAGAAGCCTTTTTGCGCGTAGCTCATTTTATATTTGTTGTAAACATTGTCTTGCCGCTAGTGCAGTTATTTTGATACTTTGATCAGCTGCAATTCAGTTTGGCGATTTCCCCACTTGCTCTGACCAATGCCGCATCGCCTAGTGATCACTCTGCTGGTTCGTCTTGCGACCTACTAGAATTACCAGCTCAGCAGTTCTTTCACTAGAAGCACTTGGCAAGACTTCGCGATGCCACTGCTGCATGTTGGTACCGTCATCTCATTTTGAATGCTGCCACTTCTTAGACTAAGATGCGGTATGTTATGACGAATTATTTTTAACTCATTTTGCTACTCCATTTATATCTCTCCTTTTTGGACCTTGACTCCTTCTTCCCTCCCTTGTCCTTCGCCGTCTTCTCTTGGTGGAAACCGTTCGATCTCATGGTGCTGGCACTGGAAAACTATGGTGCAGTAATACCCATGAAATAGCGACATGGTTGACCGACCCACTTCTGGCTTTCCCGTACTTACCTGATGCAAACCCTTTGATGGCAGTATGTCTTCTTTTTAGAGCTACGGCGGAGCAGTTTCGCATGCCGAAGACAGAGTCTTAGACAGAGTCTTCGGCATGCGAAACTGCTCCGCCGTAGCTCTAAAAAGAAGACATACTGCCATCAAAGGGTTTGCATCAGGTAAGCATTACCTATAATTCACAGTCTAACTGAATCTCCAGGACAAACCAACATTAAATGAATGCTGATGTGCCGGTACATCGTAATTGTTGACATTACTGTAACAACCTGTAGAAAACAGTTCGACTCACTGATAACGCTTGAGACCAGCGGTGATGCTCGTTGTCCCCTCCATCTTTCCATCGTTGTATTTTGCTGATTTTGTGCTACCTCCGTCGCCACAGCAATGCGGCAAATATTTCGTCGATTTTGTTCAGCACTTCTAAAATGCGTTATCTTTCCATCTCCCCTTCCCTCCCCTCCCCTCTGCTTCTCCACTACTAGAATTTTTTCTTTCTACCTTTGTTCTATGAACCATCGCTCCAGGTGTGCTTTTTTTCCTTTTGCACATTTTCGGCGTCCTTATGCACATGTGAATAGTATATTTCGCAAAAACCTTAAGTTCCAGGAAAATGAACCTGGAGTCGCTGGAAATTTTACTATTCAACAGACCGTCCTGGTAGCCCCACTCGTGGGAATCGTAAGCAAGGTGATTCAGCACGCATTTCATCCACACTTTTCTTGCGCTTTCTGTTTTGTTCATGAGCTTTCACACAACTGTTTGTTCGTTAAGCGTGTTGCTGCAGATCCTTAATACTAATAAAATTAAGATGTACCGCGTAGGAGAAGAAAAATTAAAGAAGGTCACCGCGTGCACATTGCAAGTCATCCAGACTTTTCCGTAAATGCTAGTATACTAATTCACCATACTTTGGAACAACTGAAATTCATAGCCTGTTCCTCCAACACTGTAACTAGCTTAATCGTTTGCCGATCAACCTGCTGACGATCCTTTTGAATCGATCACCAGTTCTTCCGGCCGAAACACCTGGTAAAATGTCCCTGGTGTGTTTACAATACCGGCATCTCTTCCGGAATATTACCAGTTCTAGACCACGGTGAGACACCTTTGTAAAAATCATTACCGTTTTTGTTTCAAAAAATTCTTCAGCAACTAGGTAGCCGATTCTTATGAATCTCATCTGTCAAAAACTCAAATAAAATTGAACTGTAAAAGATTTTTTAATGAAAAAGATGGTCTAGGAAATTTGGCGAAATGTTATCGCAGTGAATTTGCAAACTGAAAGCCCCCGAAAGATGCACATACAAACATATACAGCTTACAATTGATGCATTGAGCAATTCGCTGCAAAACGGTGCAAAAAAACTGAAGACGAGCGTGTAGCTGTTGCTGATAAGAGTATTTTTGAAGTGTCAGAATCAGTTCAAGGAATTCTGAAGTATCCAGAAGCTAACCTGTACAGGAATTTCAAAAAATCTCGATAATGATTTGAAGATCGATACTTGAACGAGCAAAAACGTAGCATCCGTCTCTCAGAACAGCAGTACTGGGGACAATAAGTTTAAAACGATGAACTAGAACAATTGTATACGATGATTTTCACGATCGGAGAGGACAATGGTATTATCAAGGAGGGCAACTGCTTCCACGCCCTTCATCTGACCGGGTCCATTACCCCATGAACCGAAACTATGCATGTATCGGCCATCTGGATAGAAGATTTGCACACGATTGTTGCCGCTATCCGCTACAATAATGAAACCCTGAAAAATATCCATCATTTACTGATATGGTAAATAATTTACCAAAATGACCAGTGCAGTGCTTGCTAAGCTACGAAACAGTGCTGTGACTTAAAAGATATAAAATTTTTTGCCCGACTTTCCAGAACTTTGCACTTTCTTCGGAGGCTATTAATTTTCAGGGAATAAACAAAACTAAATGCTCCATCTTCAGTGCAAGCACTTCGGGAATGACGTTGCTACGGGAGCTCACTCATTTCGGAAATCAAATCTGCTGCAAGCTATGTACTCGCCACATGAAAAAGTCCCATACTCGGAGCAGACAACTTTCGTCTATCTTACTAGTGAATAAATGCTGTTGACGCATGCTACCACTGCCTCCGCCTTCTGCAGGAAGAGTGAGGTTTTGACTGTTAAATTTACAACCGAAAATAGCACTCCCGCGCTTTTCCCTCCTTTTTTAGTCATTCAGCAGTCTCCTCCTAACCTCCATCCACAGCCATCATCGTAATACGCGGCTGCGCGACAATGCAAAAAAAGTAACTTTTTTAGCGACTACGGTAGAATATTTTCGAGCAAGCATTCATTTTTGCTCGTTCCTGCCGGACGGTTTGCGTGCGTATTCCCGGCAGCTATTTGGCAGCTTACCTCTTCCAGCGTTGGAAACTGCTCCTTCTTTAGAAAAGAAAAAAATAATAGTTTTGCGAAAAAGAGGCGCTCGATATATGGCCGAATTAACGACAAAGGACTTAGCTGCACTGCTACGGAGAAGCTTCTGCGAAAAGCATGCGCAAAACTCCCTGCCTATTTGCCCATTGTGAGTGCCATTAGCACTGCGTGGAGGCCGTGTTGAAGAACGTGCCAGCATCGTCTACCTACTGACGAGGCTATCGATGTTCCTCTCCTTCAAGAGTTACCAAGGAACAAGCTGGTAGCAAGTTTCACTCCCTGGCATTTTCCAGTATCAATTTAGCGTAGAGAGGAGTGAACGATCTGCAGAGAGAGCTCCAGACTTTAAAAAATCTAAATTTCTAATTGTTTCTTGCCCAGACAGAAATAAACCATCTTCTTCAGAATTTGACTGTGCAACAGTATTACTAATAAAAAAAAGTCTTTCGTTATGCTAATAAAAAGTGAAAGCTCGCAAGTGTTGCACTGTTGAAAGTGAAAACCAAAGAGTGACGACTGTTTCGTTGGGACAGATGGGACGTGCATGAGGTGAGTGCTGTGTAGAAATGGAAGAGTTGTGAGGTGCTGTGCAGAAACCTGATCATCCACGGCGATCCCACGTGGGAACTTCATTTGGCCGTTCTGGTAGCCTTCGGTGCCGAAATGGAAAATCGGATTGCCGTTGTGGTCAAAGACGCAAACGCGATGATTCGAGCTGTCCGTCACATAAATATTTTGCGTTCGTTTATGAATTGCAATGAATTGTGGATGATGAAATTGGCCAAGTCCTGGACCCATTGTTCCAAATTTGCCAGCAAACTGTCCCTTGCTGTCGAACATTTGCACACGATGGTTGTCCTGAATTTAACACTCTGCAGCTTAGTCTTTGGCAATTCTTTTGAATTTCATTCGCTTCTGTTGCTGCCACTGCGCTGCTGCTGTGTAGCTCCCTTTGTGGAATGTTTGAAATCGCAGATGCACTCGTAAGTCAAAACGCTGTTCGTGTCTGCTCTCTGTGGGGAACAAAGGCACTTGCTAGTAGCTGGATCGAAATGGTAACACCTATCAGAAGCAGCCACCCGCTCACACGGCTTTCGATGGTCCCATTTTTGGAGGGCCGCACCCAGGAAGCAAAAACTCGAAACGCCTGCAAAGCGTAAGTGGGGTATTGGGTCAGGCTAAACTGCTTAGTACTAGAAGTTGCGGTGCGCCCGACCAGTCTATCTTTCCAATCCCACGCCCACCTCTTACATCCTCACGTTGTAATGAGCAAAGAGACATCTGGTTCCTTTCCAGTCTACACATTTTTATTGCAAGCTCGCCGCTACTGTCATAGCTAGGATGTTATAGCAGGACACAAAGCTAGAAGCAATTTATTTTCTAGAATTCTGCTTGCCAGTCCTTTTCGAGTCCAATTAACTGAGGAACTGCCCCGTTAAGAGTTAGTAGGGAACGGAGAAAAAAAGCAGATATCCACTCTTACAAGCAAACGGAACTGTGATTGCTAACGCAGTTAAAAGTTTAGATCATATAAAAATTCCTCAGGTAAACCCTTAAAGATGTGAAACGAATGTCAGAATCGCTAGCAGCAGGTTGACCGCTGGAAGGTTAACGACCAGCACTAGCAAAGCAACTGGAAGAGTCGCTAGCTGCATATCTGAAGAACAACGCTGTGCTTAATTGTCCCATGAGAATCAAGTAAGGAAGTGCATCGAAATTCTGTTATTTTTTAATAAAAAGGACTGAAATAAGAGGAACAGCCAGCTTGCCCAGCCCTTACTTCTTCAGCTATTCTACTCATCGAGCAGCCCAAGTTCTCGCCAAAACAACACATTTTTTTTACGTTTTTTTTTTTTTTTGGTCAGTGCTCAGTTTCGTCATGCAGGAAATGCAATGACCACTGCAGTGATGTGGGGATAAGCGCAATTGGTAAGACCTGTGTTAGCCTCATCGGTTCAGGAAAAGAGGAAACGTATTGGCAATCTGAACTGCCACAAAGCCAGAATTGGAACCTAAGCCAGAAACACGCTTAATGCGCAAAAACCTCGGCTGAGCGGGCTGTCCCAAGGAATAAAGCAATGTATCAAACTTGTCAACTGCTATCACTAGGCTACACAGAGACAGGCACACACACACCTTATCGACAACGTAAATCAGGCCCATATCATCCATGGCCACACCCCATGGATTGTTGAAACGTCCACTGGATGGGCCATGGCCACCAAATTTGCGCAAAAATTGTCCATTGTTGTCAAAAATCATGATCCGGTGATTGTAGCGGTCAGAGACGATCAGCTGCTTGTACCGGCCACAGCAAATCCCGGCAGCACTGTCCAGTTGCGCATCTCCGGTGCCATACCTGCCGAACATTCGCAGCAGCCTGCCGCCCGTATTGAATATACAAACACGATGGTTGCTGCTATCGCACACCGCGAATTCGTTGCCGCCAAGTACCGCGATACCCCGGGGCCAGTTCAGCTCCTCTTCCTTGGATCCCTTCTTACCGAAAACCAGCCGCGGCTTCCCTTTCGACATGTAATCAATGGCGCAAATGAAGCGCGGCGTCTGAAGCAGTCGACCATCACATGAGCTCTCGCGGTCCGGCACAATCGAAGAACGCTTCCGAAAACGTGAGCGACGATCGTGGTGCGATGCTGCTGCTGCTGCAGAGGAGCAGGTTGCGGCAATCGCTGACAAATCGCCAGTGTCGCTCTCCTGTCGCAGCAGCGGGCCGCCGGTGCGACAGCAGTTGCGCTCCAGAAGTAGTTGCTGCACGCGACTGCTCGACGCCGATGCTGCTTGCTGGGTACTACTACTGCTGCTGGTCAGGGGGTGCGCTACGGGCTGCTGCTGCTGACCATTCATGGCGGCCAGTGCCACCATCAGGTCGGGGTTCGTCTTGGAGCGCTGGTAGCGCTGTCTACGCCTCAACAGCCATGCTGGCAACTGGTCACCTGGATAATGCATGATCGGGATCGGCAGTGCCGATGTGGGCGCATCGGCCAGCGCTTCCTGGGCAGCGGCCGAGAGCGGCGTCGGATCGGAGCGCTGATGAACGACCGGCTCTTTGGCATCGGACGCACTGCGACAGATAATCCGGATACGACCGGCAGTACTGATCGGCGGCGTTGGCCCGTTCTCGCACTCACTCTCGTCACTGGACGCGGTACCGTTTGGCGCACTTGCCTCGGCCACTGCATCTCGGAGCGCCGCCGTTCGGTTCGCACGGCGCGTCTCGTGCGCCGTACGAATGGTCTCGAATTTTTCGTTCAGGCTCGTATCGTCGCTTGACGCTTGCCGAGGTAACGGTGGCTTCTTCGTGGTCAGCTTCACAGTGGCTGCTGCTTGCTTCCTCGTCCCGTCCATGTCTGGCTTCTGCATCTGGCTCTGCTGCCTTCGCTGCGGCGCTGCTTCCGCTGATGAGCAGCCTTTGATCGCTGCTGCCTGCGTATTTTCGGCATCCAGCGTCACAGTGCCGTTCGCCGTCACTGGCCGAACCTCGCCGGTCGACTGATTCCTGGCTACCGTAGCGACCGGGTTCATCGACTGTCGGGCTTCGTTGAGGACGACACCTTTGGGAAGTACCACTGCCCTGCCCGCTTGCTGCTGCTGCTGTTCCTGCTTGAAACTCCTGTCGCCCATCACGGGGCCCAGCGATGACTGCAGGCATTCTGCGGCAGCCTTGGCCACTGCAGTTGTTAAGTTATTTCTGGTTATGGCATGCGCATCCGCTGCCACTGCTGCTGCTACCGGGGAAGTGATGCCGCTTGCGACCACGGTACGGCTCCAAGGGCTGTTCCCGGGAGTGTAGCATGTACCGCCGCTTCCCGGAGACTGGTTGGTGGCGATGTCGAAGTTCTCTGCCTTGAGCCGATTCCACGCTTCCTCCTCCAACTGTTGTCGGCGCCGGTATCGTATGGACATTACGTCTTCATCGGTGCCGCCAGCAGCGCCAGCACTAGCGACGTTTATTCGCATGCCGTAGCGTCCAGCGGCCGAGCCACGAAAGTCGTTCTGGGCGCGTCCACCGCCGCCTTCTTCCAGATCCACCGCTCGTTTATTCGCAAATTTGTAGCTGTCTGATTCATAACCAATTTTCATCGGCCGTGGCAGGTAAGACTGCTCCAGCGGCAGATAGCGACCAGCAAACTGCGGAAGCATCACAGTCAGTTCACCGAAATTTGCAATTGCCATTGGCAGCTTGGACGCATCATCACCGGGCGTGAAGCGCAGTTTCTTTGAGAATAATTCATCGGCATCCGGCTGAAAAATTTCCAAGAAAATCACAGTGTGGGTAAACAACCACCGGTTTAAGAAACTTCGGCTGGAACGCACTAGGCTTGCCGGTGCGATCATGCGTTTTTCCACTAAACTCGCAAGTCGCTAATAGCAGGATTGACCTATGAGCTGTAGTCTAACACTTGGGCTCATATTGGCCGCGCTTTGGCCCTTCCGGCACGCAGGAACCCAGGCTGGAACGCGCCAGGCTCTCCGATGCGATCATGCGTTTTTGCAGTGAACTCGCAGATCGTTATTAGAAGGAATGATCCCTTCGCTGTAGCCCAACAATTGGGCTAATATTGGCCGCGTTTTGATCCTTACCAGCATGCAGGAGGAAGGGCATCAGTTGGGACGAAGGTGGTGCATTACAGTTGGGATGAAGGTGGTGCACATCCAGGTGCATGATTACCGGTTTTTTGCATGAAGTCCGGTTTGCATGAAGTCCGCTGACTTTGTGAAAAAATGAAAAATGCAGATTTTTGGAGAAAATGCAAACTTCCAGTTCACTAAAAAGTGGGAGTATTGTCCGAGCGGTCGTTTGTCAAAAGATGCACGTTCATTTACATATACGATTGCGGTTAAGGTCCGAGCTGCGAACGAATTTTTTGAAGTGTGCAGATTTTCAGTTCATTGAAAAATTGAAAGTGTTGCTCGAACGGTCGTTTTTCAAAAAAGCCAAGTTCATTTGCATATACAGTTGCGGTTCAGGTCCGAGTTGCTAACGATTTTTGGCTTCAGGAGCTGCTTGAGGCTGTGGTTGGGGAGGGTTGAGTTTAAAATCTTTGTCTCGTACATGCATAGAGAACTTCCCCGCAAATTTTCAGCCTTCTACGTTGCCTGGTTCGCGAAATCGTTTCCTGCCAAAATATTTCTTTGGGAGTCCCGTACGCGGGGTTTAGGCGCGTATGGGGGAAGATCTTAAAACGGGAGGATGACACACGGGGTTGAAACATATATCCGAAGTTTCAGCCTCTCAGCTTTCCTGGTTGCTGAGATGAAAGTGGGTGACAAAATGCACT